GTAGTTGCAGTCATGCCTGGAATTTTGCTTTGATGGTCGCCGCATTCGCATAAATCAATAATAGTGCAGCCACTGAAGAGGAGGAAGAACAAGAAGCAGGAGCAGAAGCAACCAAACTTACAACTACAATAACAGCATCAGAGGAAGGAGGACCACGAAAAGCCAAGGAGTACCAGCGAAATTTCCCTGTCTTGACAGATAAGGAATAATACGGTGGAGGCTAGATAAAATAGATATCAGCTTTAATAAATTTTTTGATGGCGGAAGGCAACATAACTTTTTGTCCATCCGCACTTAGCTTGGGTTTCCACGGATAATAAACAAATAAATGTATTTCAGTTTATATATTCGTATGTCCATTTTTTTTTCTTATCTGTGCTTTAAAATTTCCCCCCATGCGTTAGAACTTTCCCATCTCATTTCAGAAGCATCGAAAACTTAATGGTATATTATGGTTATTCAGTTTTGGTTTCAGAAACAACAAATTGCGATTTTTACGAGTGGGAATCTCGTGACGGATGAAACTTTCTTTCCCCCAGCTGCCGATAAGAATCACTTGAACAAGCTCGAAATGACATCGACGATCACGAGGAAAACTCCAAATAACCAAAATCAAAAATGAACATAACACACAAAAGTCGGTGGAGGTGGGTTCCATAAATTTTCATTAGAAATGCACGCGGCAGCAGCTAAATGATAAGGAACTTTATGGCCGTCGTTGATATAAAACCTGGCTCTAATTGAAAATAAAAACCGAAAAGAGCTGGAATTATTGAAAACGAAATGAAATTTAAATAATTTTTGATGAAAATTCTGTTTTTTTTTGTAGAGCATCAAAGTGGCGTGGAAAAAGAAACAAACAAAGAAAATGGTCATAAAGAAGTCTATATCTACATCTCTTGAATTAATCCATCTATTTTGCTCACTGTGCACACAAAAAAAAATGTCTGACACAAATTAATAAATAACTTAAGAATTTTGGTAATAATTGGTAACGCTGAAATACCAAATCTAAGACCTGAAAAGACAATTACTAAGGTTTTAAAACAAGTACAAGATATTAAAATTAGAAATATTTTTTAATGATAATTAAATTAAGTAGTAATATAATAACTTATTTGATCGTATTATTTAACGTTTTTACCACTTGTGGTCAAAAAAAATATATATATGCAAATGTATTTCTCTCGGTGCATGCCTTTTTATTGGCCCCTCTGTCGTTTTGAGTGTGTGTGGTATTTAAGTTGATTTTTTCGGTTTTAATATTCGAGCTACCGTTAGAATCAACAGCGAAGAGTAGTGTGGAAAATTCGTGGAAAGGGGAGGGAAAATGTGAAGGGGGCGGCGTCAAAGTCGACGCTTCGCCAACGCCGGCGTCTCTTTGGTAAAACATTAATTAAATTAATTAACCAACTCGTGCCAAGAATTTCATACCGAAGAAGATGAGCAGCAAACCAAAAAAGCACATATCTCTGTACGTCGAGTCAGTGGCAGTCGTATATATATTCCAGACATCGCTTTGGAACGCATAATTAATGCGCTCAGTGCGCAGAACCAGATTAAAGTGCGCCTTGCCCGGCCAGATATAAACATATACCAACATATATATCAACTTTATACGTTTATACACATATCGCTTCATATAGCACCATCCAAAGGTGGTTGCTGTGGTGAAAGATCGGATCCGTCTTCCGGCAATTGAAAATGATTCTTTCAATTAAATTATTCCTAGTTGAGTGGGTTTTACTTTTGTTGCTACTTCACCCGGAATTAAATTATCAGAAGGTGTAGAGAGAGGAATTTTCAGGGAATAAGGTTGATAAACTTTATTTTGGCGGAATGTAAATATATTCATAATAATAATAATTCAATAATTTTCAAACATCATTGACTAATGTTATCCCTTTTCACATTTGATTAATCCCATTTTTAATTCATGGCATTTGAACCAATTTTTCTGGGCCTTTTCTTCGCCGCCTTGGCCAATTAATCTTAGCCAACTCGGAGATGCCTCTGAATCGGTTTTCCATATCCGTTAGCAGTTTGGAATGTGAAACCCTGACAAAAACAAAAAAAAGCTCGACACGTGCCAAAGCGAACAACACAAGCCATCGAGACATCAATCAATTGCGCTGATTGAATGCATTCGAAACCGAAAACCCAAAACCCAAAGCCCAAAGAAAATAAAGAAAGGGGGGAGCTGCGAAAGTATATAATAAAAAGGCACAAGAAAGGCAGCCTCCAACAAAGTGTGAAGTTGGAAATAAAGTGGCGCTTAATTGCGAGCGATTAATGAAGCAAGAATCCCCATTCCCAATATCCAATGCCCAATTTCGAGGCGCCCAGGGCAGTGGTTTTTTTTCTAGTGTAGCCGCAGCGCTGTCGTCGCCTGTGTCAGGTGTCATGTGTCAAGTGTCAGGTGTCAAGGCAGGGGGCAAAAAATTTAACGGTTCTCCGAGCCACCAATCAACGCAAGAAATAACCAACAAACAAAAAAGCAACCAAATGAAAAACGAAACAATCCAAAAAGCTTACAAAAAAATTAACACGAAAATCGCCGGCAGCCAAGTGGCCAACGAACTCCAATCCATTGGCGATCGGAAGGTCGCCTTCGTCATGAAAATATATACCCATATTCTGTATCCTATACGACCGACACTCATTTGGGCACAAAAATAAAACTAAAACAATGAGCAATATCAAGTGCAATAAAGCATAAACTGATGGAATCCCAAATTGAATACAACTAGCGAAGAAAACTGCAAAAAATAAATGTGTGGACAGGCGGAAAGCGAAAACTGCGCAAAAATACAGGATTTACGACACGACTTTTAAAATACCCTGGGAATCAGAAACGTCTTTAATTTAGTTAATTAATAATAATGTTACTATTGTACACATTTTTTTGTTAGCTCTAAAAAATGATCATATTATATTTATTATATTTGGGATTTTACTTTAATAATTTCAAATATTTTTGCAGACTCCAGTTCTTTCCGCATCAAATATTAAAGGCTGAGATCATTATTGTCATTGGTTTATTTTTGTACTGATCATTTCACGATCTTCGTGGCGGATTAAGATAAGCTTGAGCTTTTTTCGTGAGGATACGAAAGATATTGGTCATATTTATTTTTATTTAGATGTATTTATTTCCAATTTAGATGTCATACTTTAAGTCATAAATACTACTACTACTGATCCTAACCCTTGATACTCTGTAGTCGAAAAATCTGGCACAATGTACGCATATTGAACGCCTCTTTCTGCTTCCGATTCTACATTTTGGATTCTCCAATTATCCGATTCTTCGTGACACAATTCCAAAATAATGGACGGGGCGACGGAAGTATCAGACTTCGCTGCCCATCGATTAATATGGAGAACGACAGCACTTGCCGCAAATGGTGTGCCAACTTCCGATCATATGTGCGTCTATATAAGAAATCGAAAGAGCCGGCGAGAAGAAGAACCCAAACCAAACCATAAATCACAAGAGCGCATGTTGACAACACTGGCAGCATGACAATTGCCACCTGCTGGGCTGAAAGGAAATCCCATTAATGACAAAATCAATAAATTCATATTTCCATCACAAGCAGACTTCACAAGTAAATAAACAAATCGAAATGCGCAGAGATATTTACAGAACCGAACGATTCAGGCAGACATAATGCCGTTAAATCAGCGTTTTAAATACAATATTAAATTGAAAGCCCTCCAATTCTCCACGACAGAGGGACAGAAATCAAATAATTAAATGGATTCTTCGGGAGAGCACACAAAACTCAACGGGGGAGAAGGCTGGGAGGCGAGAATAAAATTGATTTGCCAGATAAATCAAGAGGTGATCTTACACAAGAAGGTCCCCCGGCAAACAGAACCAAAAGCTTGGATAAAGAATTCAACAACTTTGTCTAGCGATTATAAGGCAAGGACTGGACGGGGGTAGAGATCGTAAGATTAAAGACTTAAGATCAAAATATAATATTTCAGAAGTGGAAGCCTTTAATCTTCGATTTATGGTTTGAATGGGGAATAGAAATCGGGGATTAAATAAGGTTAACATTTATTAAAATGAAGCTCTCATCTTTTCTACTCCTTAATATCCAATTAATTAGCAACTTTTTAATCTTTTTAATCTAAAAATCAATTAAATAAAAACCATTGCTGCTGCATTCGAACGGATTATGCAATCACAATCTGCCGAGTGTTTTCTTCCGGCAAAGTCAATCAGTCAATCACTCAATCGGCGACTGAAGGAAGCCAAACAGTTGGCAGTCTGCAGACTGCCGTTGCATTAATCACCCAAAGCTATGCAGGCAAATCAGAACCGATCGATCCGATCGCACTCATCATAATTATCGATGATAGCTCGACTCGACTCGACTCCAACGTGTCATGTCAAGACCCCCCGATCTCCGATCTCCGATCGCCTCTCTTCATTTCGCCTAATTGAAATAATGCCGCCCCGTAATTGAATCAATTAAATCGGCAGCAGATCAGCGCCAGTGGGGAATGAATAATGCCAATGAAGGTGATCTATGAGCAGAGTCTTCCGTTTGTAAGACATGTAATGCTTGAATTTACAAATTAGATTTTATTTTTTGAGTACCAACCTTTAATTTTTTTATATCCCTTATGTTTTTATAAACAAAATCCTTCATGGAAATAAGTGATATTAACCAAAATATTATTTTAAAATGCTGCAGAAATTCCAAAAAAATATTCTCTTCTTAAAGGTTTATTAAATTTGATTAAACACCAAACACGTTGAGGAACTTATGGAACCCTCATTTTCAGGGCACAGCATTAGAATCCCAGTCTAGAAGTCACGACCCATAAAGTGAGTCATTCTGACCTCAGCAAACGGCCTGCCAGCTGTCTATAATTATTTGTACGTTTGCCGCAGCTCGAAATGAATCGATTTCGAGACACACTGACGCACAGACTTGGATTTGAATCGGAAACGGAGACACAGGTAAAACTTGGGATTGTGGATGGAGCTGGCCGGGATTCAGATATATCGGCTATTGCTATTGCTGCTTTATTTCGGCGGCATCTTGGCCTTCGGCGGGCACAGCCATTGCAAGGACTGCGATCAGTACAAGAATACGGTGCCCGTGAGATGCAAATACTTGCTGGAGGCGGACCATGTCTTCGAGCGAAAGTGCGGCGGGACATATCCCCTGATGGCGTTCACCAAGTTTCGCGATACCTTCGTGAAGACCGGCGAGCCGTTCGCCCTGTATATGCCGAATACTTTGGACCATGTGATGGTGCTGATGAAGGACTCGGCGCTGCAGAGCTGCGACCGCCTGCAGCTGGCCGATGTGACCACGTTCTTCTGCCTGGACGATAGTGCCAATGAGACGATCAAACTGGACGTGGCCCACATGTACTGCTTCCCGTTTCACATCCAGCTGCCGGACGACCTGATGCAGGAGTGCCTCACGGAGAACAAGATGAGCAAGCGGCACCTGGACGATGTCCTCCGCACCCGACGCGGCGTCATCCACTATACCTTCGGCGAGAGTCGGGGCCACCGGTGGTTCATTTCTGGATATTTCTGGCCACTTCTCCTCCAGCTCGTACAGCTCCTGCGGCTCCTCCTGCTCCAATGAGTTGATGATGAGTCGTAAATTTTTATGCGAGCTGCCATAAAGATTGATCGGTTAAGCCAAAGGGGAAATGGCATTAAACAAAAATTGCTTAAAACAAAAAAGTGAACTAAAGTCAATGGATATATATATACATGTATGGATTGATTGGAAGCCTTATCGCTGGCCTTGCTCCTGGCCATCTCCTGCGAACCGCGGGGCCCTTGTTGAGTATTTATTTTATGGCAAAACAAATTAAACTGTATTAACGCATTGTTTGTTTTCATTGGTCGGTGGAGTGCAGGCTTCTGGGCTCGGCTTCCCATGCTCCAGCTACAGCTCCATACTAGCCTTAACTTCTTCCGCTTCTCAGGCATTTTAGAGGAAAAGATCTTGTCATGTCTTTATATCGTTGATTAGTTTTCATCTTTTCGCCCCAACAGATTGATTCTTGGAAAAGAAATGGCCATAATATTGAACAGAAAATAAACTGCACATCTTAGGAAAATAGTTTAAGCCGTACATGTTTTTAATTTATTTATTTCACTTCCCATAATACCTGTAGATATTCGTCTACATTTTTTCGTAGATTTTTCGTAAATAAGTATAAAATTTCTGAAAAATAGAAATGCTGTTTTGTTGTGTTTATTAATACCTATCGAAATGTAGAAGACATTTTTTCATTCGGATCAATCACTAAAAAGTTATGAGCAAATAAAGGAATATTAATTTTTAAAATAGTTCAAAATAGAGTATTTCCTTTGCTAGCACCCTGCTGGGCATATAGAACTTCGATCTGTGATCTCCCCTGCCGATTTGTCCACATCACGTTGCAGCTCGTGATCCAAAGAGCGGTCACCTGCGGCTGCCTGGCGTGCGTAGTCGCCAAATTTCCATCCACATTGCAAAACCTAATTCGCGATTGCCGATCCGCGATATACACATCGAAATCTCCAAGTCTCGGCTCTCTAATTCTAATCCCCATTCATCCGGTCGTTTGTTGTCTCGGGCATAGCGGTTTGCCCCGACTGCAAGGAAAAGCCTTGGCGCGACCATCGACCAAATTGTCAACGCGGCGATCTGAATGCAGAATGCAGAACATCTCGGCATCAGATATATCGAGTACTCCAGTTCGATCGCTCCGCGGCGATTTGCATTTTGGGCATTGGCCCGGGTTAAGGAGAATCAGAGGTTTCAGCAACAGTTGTTTTGTTGCACAAATGCCGTTGTCCGCACAGTGGTCACAATTGGCAAAAAAATCAGGGAAAAAATATTAAAAAATAAATATTTTTTTAAAATTATTTTAATTTGTTTGACGCTCCAAATAATACTGCATTTTAAGCAACTTTATAGAGAGACCTATTGATTTTAGGGCACCCTTTAAAAATAATAATTAAAAATAAGATAAAATCTTTTATTTTACATTTTTAAATTATAGTCCGTTTTTTTGGATATGGTTTTTAGAATGATGAGCTATTAGGTATTTATTCCCCTCACCTGCACCCCACTGTACCACAAAAAAAAAACGATTTGTTTCACCCACATGCAAGTGGTTTTTCTTCTACTTGCCGTGGATTTGGTTTCTCTAAATTTTCTTCTGGTATTCATAGGAATTTCCAATTGATTTTCAGTTTCGATTGACCGCACCGCAGTTGTCACGTGTTGGCCCCCCCTTCCTCGTTCTTTTTTTTCCCGCCCTTTCTCCACTCATTACGCATCTGGCACACTTGAGTTCAATCAAATGCCAAATGCTGCAGCAGGTGAGGTCTTTCCCCGGCTCCTCGCTTTTTCTGCTTTACGGGGATAATTGCGCAAAAGCTTTGGAAAGATCTGTCCAGCCATTTGCATAAATTTCCCTTGCAAAGGGGGAAGCTGCTGGGGAGAAGGGGGGACCACACAACCTGAGATTCTGCGGAGAAAGACCACTGAGACCTGACTTCATCCTCCACACGGTAAACAATTTTTACACATGTCTTCTGGGCTATCAAAAATTTCCTGAGTTTGCACTTCCTTGCCAGAACTTGGAATTAAGGGTATTAGGATAATATTTGTTATAATTAATAAACTGTATTAAAAATGTGAAAAAGAACCATAGAGTGAAAAAGGTTAGTGCAAATATTTAATTCGAATATTTCTAAATAATATTCGAATATTTCTAAATAATATTTAGTAAATATTCCTATTGTAAGGCAGCTATTTAATATCCCAATGCACACAAGTGTCCTCTTATTTTTCTGTGCAGCCAAATGGCTCGCCAGTGGCTAACCACGTCATAAACAATGATTAGGCGGCTGCTGGTGGTTCTGGTGGTGCTAGTGGTGCTAGTTGTGGTGTGTATTAAAACGGTTTTCATGTTGCAAATGGTAGCGATCATCCTCCTGCCGGCTGCCCCAGACCCCTCCTCCACCATCCTCCATGCTTCGATCGCAGTGAAATTGCATTATAAATTAATTAGTCAACTATTTTAGCAGCACACCTGTGAGGGGCGACAGGTGGAGATGATGGAGAAATTCTCCCATAGACGGAGTTTTTCAGAACAAATCAGGCAGCAGAAACAGAAGTCACCAAAGACGGACATCTCCGGGGGCTTTGGGAACATTGTGACATTGGCTACCTGGCCAGAGATTCCCCTCAAATGAGTTGGCCAATGATTCGGAATGTGGCTGTTGCTCGTTACTTCTATTTAGCCATTGATTTCCCTAATGCTTTCCGTGAGCGAAATTTATTTGTATACCATATTTAGATTTACCCTCCTCACTTCCTTTTAGTTTTAATGGCGTATTAAATCCATGTTTATTAATTTCAACACTAATGTAGTCATTTAACTGATATTCTGTCATTATAAGTTGAATAGTATTCAAGTTAATATTATCAGATACCCCTTATCAAAAATGCGAAAATTGGTGAAAATTAAATTTTCCCAAAATTGATGTTAAATTATCAGTTTTTTTGCCGAAACAAAGGAAATAATAGACCAAATATGGAATGTCATACCTTGTTCAACTCGTAGCTTAATTCTGAATCGATTTGCGTTCAAGTCTCGACATTTTAATTTTTTTCCATTTTTAGCAAAAAATTATGATGGTACCCCTTAAAAAAAAATGCTAAAATTTTTGAAAAATTTAATTTTCTAAAAAGTGATGGGGATCGTTAGCCTAGGTTGTTAGCTTTTCAAAACATTCGGTCGCTTAGCTCTCGTCTTTGATTTGTCCAAATTACAGCTAAAAAACCGAAAAAAATGTCTAAAATTCAAATCCATTTTTCCACCCTAAAATATCCAGTTTTTTTTATCGATCTCGTAAATAAAAAATATAATAGAAATATTTTGCACCTTTTTAAAATTAGATTCTTAATAATTCTCATCATTCTTTATTCTTTTTTGAAGCACATATTTGAGTCTTCCCACACGTGCCACCGAATCTTCTTGCCGGCGGCAATCACAGAGGTATTCTTCGGCGATTAGGACACGCCTACTTAGTGACAGCCATTAGGCAGTCGGCTATTTAATGGAATATTAGTTATTCATTCGGGCGTTATCGCCGACACCTTTACCACTTCTTGCCGCGGGAACAGATCGAGATCGATGGGCGTGGCAAATCGGCGAAGAAGACTGGTGGTAGGATGTCTAAATTTAGAGAGGGCATTGAAAGGGCCATTAATCAGCTGATAAGTCGGGGTTCCTTGGCTTCGGAAATAATTAAAACATTCTCTTTGATGGCGACGAAGGAAAACAAATCATGTCACATAGGGCCAAGAGATCGGAGATCAGAGATCACGGCGTTAAAACAATAAGCGGCCAATAAGCCAAACAAAGCGAATGTGCAGTTAACTTAACGGTCGAGCGTGAAGAAAAACATAAATAAAGTTTGTCAAAGAGCCCTAAGAGCTCTTATATTGAGATAAACAAATTTACAGTCTAGCCTCGCTATGCGGTTCATATCAAATAATAAATAATATAAATATTTTGGAATATTTAACTAGAAAAAAACCTCAAAACATCTCGATTTCTATATCAATCCAATCATTTAATAGATATTAGATACATAACAGATATTTGGTTATTTTTAGTAAAGCCATTAAAATAATTTTAAAAATTTTAAAAATAAAATTCGTAGATTAAGAGCAGGTTTCCCTGTCGATCGACGAAGATCTTTGACCGCCAATCGATTTCGTTTTCCGACGCCCTGACACATGAACTTTGACTATTAATGGAACACGAGCGAGAGTAAAAGAACGGCCCCCAAAAATATTTGGGGGGCGGCACGGGGACGGGTTTGGAAAGTACCGTTCCTCGGAGGCATCTTCCTCAGCAGCAGCAGCTTCTCGGTTCGATTTTTGGCTACTACTTGGGGGCTACTTCTGGCCCATTGTCACCCCGGCGATTTGTGGCAACAATAGACAATTTGAAATCTTGATCGAACCTTTTGTTCGGTTCGTTTCGCTGTTCGTTGACATTTGTCACCATCGCCCATCGCCAGTCGGGAATTTAGAAAAATACAACAAATAAATCGATTCGATACGATTAACAACCTGTCGGCCAGTCGTATTATAGCCCATCGTAATCGGCATTGCACCGCCCCTTTTCTATTTCGATTCCACAATTGCTGTTTATTTTTGTCCATATCGCTTTGTTTTGTGGGTTTTTTCATTATTATTTATTTTGCATTATATCATCCCGAAAGGGCCGCGGCTTTGTTGTCTTCTGAGCCTGATATATCTCATAGAAAATTGGTTTAACATTTCTTTGCCGATTTCAAGATATAGTTTTTTGTTTCCCTATTTTTTGCAATCTATTTTAGGCCCCCTTTGTTCGCGGCTTTCGTCTTATGCAAAGTGCGTGAAGGTGACTGGACTCTGGGATTTTTTTGGCTCCCCACCACCCCACCAATAAACATTCGTTTTTTGGCCCTTTTGTTTTGGGATTGGCTCATTTTGATGGTTAGCCTTTCTCTGAAGGTGACTTTTTGAAAAACACTAAAAAAGAAATAGTTCATATTTTTATTTCATAGATAATCTCATCTTCGTTGAAATTCAATATCCTGCCATTATTTTCTCTTGGCGCATTTTAACGGCGTATTCAGAAGTTGTTGCCTGAATATGATTTATTTGAATTTCCCTGCCTCGAATATGAGCTTACATATGTATATCTATATTTGGGCGTGGCTTCCATCTCGTTAGCAGCGTCACCTGCAGCATTAATTAAG